TGAAACCCCCTGGCGCAAAGGGAAGCTGAAAGGCACCGACACCGCCATTCCCCGGACCTTGTCCAGGGGTGCGCTGTGACCAGAATTTCGGGGCGGATCCAGCGGCGGCGACGAAGGCCTCCCAGGAGGCATGAAAAGCAAATACGGGCGAAGAGTAGCGGTAGCGGTACCTTCTCCTCCTCTGGTCAGGCGTCTGAGCCGTCCGAACATGAGAGCACGAGCGAGCTGCGGCCCGCGCCCGTCATCAGGCCGAACAACACGGGCTCGTCCTTGTTCGCGGAGAGGTACACCTGCCAGTTGCTGACCTGTGGGGAAGCGCCAGGTGAACGCTTCTTATTCGGCGTTTCGACATTGGGCGGAAGGGGGGGTCTGGCTCTGGACCTCTGCGACTGTTTGCAGCAGTGCGTCCTATGGGGGAGACTCCGCCTGCGTGAAACAGGCGCCAAAAACAGCCAACGTCTATTACATGGGTGGGGGGGGTGCAAGGGCCCGCGCCGATCGGCAAAACAATGAATAAGAAAACGATCACCAGGTAGAGGGAGGGGTGGAGGGGAGGAGGGGACGAGACGCGCGGGAGAGGATCGAGGGAAGAGACGCGAGGGAGGGGAAGAGGGAAGGAGACGCGAGGGAAGGGGTGGAGAAGAGGGGTGGAGGGGAGGAGACGCGGAAGGGAGTGGAGGACGGGGTGGAGGAAAGATTGGAGGCGCGGGGGTGGAGGCGTGGGGGCGGAGGAAGGGGTGGAGGGGAGGAGACGCGAGGGAGCGGATCGAGGGTCGAAGGCTCGAAGGCTCGAGGCTCGTGGCTGTTCTGATGCTTGTGTGGCCTTGTTTGGGCCTCTTGGAGCGCCCTGGTGGCCCCGCAAGAAGTCCCTCGAAATCCAAAGCCAGGGAGCCCTTCAGGACAAGTATAGTTTGGGGTCGTCGTTGGCGTCGTCGTCGTCATCGACGTCGCCCTCCTCCTCCTATTACTATTACTAGCATCCGCATTATTATTCGTATTAAAAGTTGTAGTATTACTATTACTAGTGTTATTATTGCTGTTAGTTGCATCAGTATTGTTGGTAGCATTCGCAATATTACTAGTCTTGCGCGGCTGCATATGACTGTTGTTCGAATATGTTTACTAGAACGCTTCGTATTAGTATTATTAGTGTGATGCGTGCGATTCCCCTTGTTTTGTATGATTACAAGTATCAGTCCAATGTGTTTATGAGTATCCTATGTTTCATCGTATTCTTGGTATGCATATTAGTAGTTATGTTATTCATAGTGTCATTAGAGTTCGCATTAGGCGTCATTGTCTTCCCATTTCCATTAGCAGTATGACTCGTATTATTCTTACTACAAGTAGTATCATCATTCGTCGTCTTATTCTTCATGTTCTTATTTAATCATCCTCTTCCCCCGCATCGTCATCATCAACATCGTCATCATTATCAACATCGTCAGCATCATCACAATCATCATCAGCAACATCATAATCATCCGCATCCTCATCCTCCTCCTCTTTCACTTCCTACACGTCCTCCTTCTCCTCCTCAGCCTCCTTTTCCTGCTCCTCATCAGCATCATCACAATCATCCTCGTATGCATCATCATCACTACCATCATCATCCTCATCATTATCATCACTATCATCATCATCCTCATAATCATCACCATCATCAGCTCACCATCCGCATCATCATCGAATCACCATCAGCATCGCCACCCTCACGATCGTCATCGTCATCATCATCATCAGCATCAGCACCATCCTCATCCTCATACTCACCATCCCCGCCACCATCATCATCAGCATCATCATCGGCATCAGCATCTTCATCAGCATCATTAACACCATCGCCACCATTCATCATCAGCGACATCATCAACATTAACATCGGCATCCCCATTGTTATCAGCATCACCACCATCATCAGCAGAAGCAACAGCATCAGCATCACCATCAGCACCATCATCATCAACATCATCATCATCAGAATCATCATCGTCGCCGTCGGCATCAGCGCCAGCATCATTATCATCCTCATCATCAGCAGCATCATCAGCAGCATCATCGTCATCGTCATCGTCCATCATCATCATCCTCATCATCATCATCATCGTCATCATAATGAGCACCACCAACATCAGCGTCATCCTCATCACCGTCATCGCCATCAGCTGAATCATCCGCATCATCCTCATCATCACCAGCAATATCATCACCGACATCGTAGTCGCCGTCATCGGTACCATCATAGGCATCATCATCAGCATCATCTGCATCGCCATCATAATCCGGAGTTGCATCGTTAGCAGCATCAGCATCGCCATCATCATCATCGTCAGCAGCACCATCATCATCGCCATCGTCATCGCCATCCATCACCCTCATCAGAGTCGGCATCATCAGTATCGTAATCATCGTCAGCAGCACCACCATCAGCGTCATCATCGTAGTCACCATCCGTCAGTGGCATCAGCATCAGCAGCAGCAGCAGGCCCGTCGTCGCGATCGTCATCAGCATCATCATCATCACCATCCTCATCAGCATCATCATCCTCATCATCCTCATCATCACCGCCATTATCATCATCCTTAACATCAGCAGCACTATGATCAGCACCAGCATCAGCATCAGCGTCATAGTCATCAGCATCATCATCATCATCATCATCATCATCATCATCATCATCCACATAATCAACATAATTACCACCATCGTCATCACCAGAATCAGCATCAGCATCATCAACACCACCATCACCATCACCATCACCACCAGAATCAGTATCAACATCATCAGCATTCTCATCATCATCATCATCACGTCCTCACCATCTTCACCTTATTAGTATTCCTCCTCACCATCATCATCACAAACAGCACCAGCACCACCATCACCATTATCAGCATGATCAGCACCATCATCAGCAGCAACGTCATCGTCATAATCAGCATCCTAATTATCGCCGGCATCGTCATCATCAGCATCATCATCAGCATCAGCATCATCATTATCATCATCATAATCATCATCACCGTCATCATCATCAGCAGCATCAGTATCATCAGTATCATTAGTAGCATCAGCATCATCATCAGCATCAGCATCATCATCACCAGCAGCAGCATCATCATCATCGTCATCATTATCATCCCCCTCCCCCTCCTCCACCACCTTCTCCTCCTCCTCCTCCTTCTCCGCGTCCTCCTCCTCCCCGCCTCCTCCTCATCCTCCTGCTCCTCATCCTCCTCCTTCTCCCCCTCCTCGCTTCTCACTCCTCGCTCCTCACTCCTCACTCCTAACTCCGCACTCCGCACTCCTGCTGCTCCTCCTCCTCGTCCTCCTCGTCCTCCTCCTCTTCATCCTTCTCCTCCTGCCCCTCCTGCTGCTGTTACTCCTTCTGCTCCTCTCTTGCTTCTCCTGCTGTTCCTGCTCCTCCTTCTCCTCCTCATCCTGCTCCTCCTGCTTCTGCTCCTGCTCCTGCTCCTCCTCCGCCTCCACCTCCTCCTCCTGACGCTCCTCCTCCTCCTCCTCCCTCCTCCTCCTCCTCCTCCTCCTCCTCCTCCTCATGCTGTTGCTCCTCCTCCGCCTCCTCCTCCTCCGCCTCCTCCTCCGCCTCTTCCTCATCCTCGTCCTCCTCGTCCTCCGCCTCCTCCTCCTGCTGCTGCTCCTCTTGCTCCTGATCTCCCTCCTCATGCTCCTCCTCTTTTTTCGGAATAGTATTAGTACTATTAGTATTAGTTTTAGTAATAGGATTGCTTGTAGTTTTAAGAATACTAGTGTCATTCAGAGTAGTAGTATATGTGATTGCGCATATCATTATTATCGTCATTAGTATGAAATGTTAAGTCGCGCCAGCATCATCGTCTTAGTACTATGAATGGTATTATAATGTTTCTTGTGATACCTAGTCGTTTTCTTCTTATTAGTCTTATTGTTCCTGTTCTGATTAGTATTACCACTATAATTGTAATTATGATTATTCGTCTGATTCTTCTTTTTATGACTATCATTATGATTGATAGCGTTCTCACTACTCATCATTATTACTCATCCTCCTCCTACTCCTCCTCCTCCTCATCATCATCATCATCATCATCATCATTATCATCATCAGCAGCATCAGCATCAGCATCAGCATGAGCATCATCATCCCTTCCCCTCCCTTCCCCTCCCCTCCCCTCCCCTCCCCTCCCCTCCCCTCCCCTCCTCTTCCCTTCCTCTCCCTATTACTCCCACTCTTGCCGTGAGACGCCTCCCCTCCCCCTCCATTCCGACCGACTTCCCACGTGGCCCCGCGCACAGGAGCGAGACCGCGCGGCTCTCGGAAGGCCCGCGAAGCAGCCCAGGGGACCTCCGGAGAGCTCCACGGACCTCCGGAGACTTCCAGAGACCCGGAGAGACCTCCTGGCGTATCGGCCTGACAAACTTGTCTCTTCCCGTCCCACCCCTCCGACCTCCACCGGCCAGTCTTGTTCCATGGGCTCTCACCTCGGGGGGCATTTCCGTGCCCTGGGACCACATTCTACCGCAAGGGCGGGGGGGGAGGGGTCCAGACCCCTCCCCTCTGTTTTTTTTTCGGCGGGGGGAGGGGGGTAGTGAAGCGTTCACTCCACGCCCTGGACGACTCGGGCGGCCTGTTGAAGCCTGCCGGGACTACCTCGAGGGGACTGTTGGGGCCAGCCAGGGCTACCTGCGGGGACTGACGGGACACACGCCTTTTCAGGCGGCGGCGGCGCAACTGGCTGAAGAGTACACAGAGGTATGCACTTGCGAAACGTTGAGGTGCCAACAGGTGGTTGCACTGTGAGCATGACGAAGCCCACCAGCAGCCTGGTCATTCACGGGCAAAGCATGACGTACTTCAGAAGCACCATCAACAACGACGGCGATACAAACAGAACTCTCGCGCCAGCTGGGAGCGGCGCGGGCAGAATCCACCACTAATACATCAGGAGAATATCTGCCGCAACAGTGCTCCAGCTAACGGGGGCGAGTCTGCTGAGCAACACACTCCTCCACTGGCAAGTTATGTTTGCGTCGGGTCGCACAGAAGCCAGGCGGCGATGCCGTGCGTCTCGCTTTGTTCCAACAATTTCTTCCATCTCCCCACGACACCAACCCTGCAAAGAAAACGGATCTCGCCGCGGATCCCCGTGCCACTTTAGATATGTACGGATGTGTGCATTGAACATATACAAAGAAATTCATGCGTGTTCTGGCACACTCGTGAAAGTGCCACGGGATGTAGAGGACCTCCCGGCGCTCTGGAGAAGCGGCCAAAATGGACAACGCGTGGATGAACGCACTGCACAGCACAGCGAAGCTACCTGCCCATCCGCGCTGTGCTCACGACTATTGCACCCCATCTATCGGGTCGGGCAAAAGGGGGAGATAGCAAAGGGGGGGTTTGAGAATCAGCTCACGTAGCTGATTTTCCCGGCGCCTCCCGGCGCCGAAGGCGGCTATGTATCGAGGAATGGGCCCCTCGGTGAGGCCAAAACCAGCTGCATGCAGCAAATTTCGTAACCCCCCCTTTCCCAGTCCCCCCCTTTCGCCCGGCCCGAATCTAGCACGCCTTCATTACATCGCCCCGTCGCTCCCTCCCTCCGTTCCCACACTCTTGACGTATCCCGCCTTCCGTTCCTGCCCCTCCCGCCCTCCTCCTCTCCTCCCTTCCAGTCTTCCCGTGTTGCCCCTTCGCCACTGGCTTGCCCGTCTCAGCGCAGACCAGAAACACTATGATGATCGTCTCCGCGATGAAGAACACCACCAGAATCCAGTGGGCCGCGCGCTGCATCTGATCCTGTCGTACCACGGTTGTGGGCGGTATAGAGAGAAGGAGAGAGAGCGATAGAGAGAGAGGGAACAACAAAAAACAAAAAACAAAAAACTCAACAACCAAAAAAACGTTTAAAATATGATAGAGATAAGAAGAAAAAACAAAAAAAAAAAAAAAAAAAAAAAAACAAAAAAAAAAAAAAAAAAAAAAAAAAAAAAAAAAAAAAAAAAAAAAAAAAAAAAAAAAAAAAAAAAAAAAAAAAAAAAACGAGAGAGAGAGAGGAGAGAGAGGAAGAGAGAGAGAGAGGCAGACAGGCAGGCAGGCAGACAGACAGACAGGCAGGCAGGCAGACAGACAGACTGACCAGAACAGACAGACAGACAGACCAGAACAGACAGACAGGACAGACAGACAGACAGACAGAGAGAGAGAGAGATGTTGAGCACGAGCGCTGCGCTGCATGCTTGCAGCACACTGAAAATGTCAGAAACAAGTGGGGTTCCTGTCCCTTCGGTGTGGAGCCCACTGCAATTTCTGTTCCGACTGGCCTGGACGTGCTTGCTCATGCCCGCGCGAAGGTCGAACCGAGGGCCCGCACACTGCTCGCCCAACTGGCCGGGTGAGCACCAGACGAACAGCATTTGCTCACTGCTCACACGACCACGAGGGAGTCGCTGGAGCAATCAAGCAACACGCATGTGCGGTTGAGGTCCCTTGTAGTGCGGTTACAGGTCTTGGGGGGGGACAGCTTGCGGTGCCCAGGGGAGAGAGGGGGGGGGGGCTCGACGTGGCCTTCGCTTCTCGAAGTACGAAAACGAATACGACAGTGGCAGACACGCTGGGATCCTGTCGGCGGACCCATCCACGACCACCGATGGGGCGGGGGGACCTCCCGAAGAACCTCGACATAATCGGAGCGCCACTCCACCCCCGACAAGTCGATGCGGGGCCAGAGGGGCAAAACGGAAGCAGCAAGGCGCACCGCGCACTGGGCGCACCGAACAGCACGGCCGACGAACGCGATGCGCTCTCCGGAGGGCCGGGGACGCACGTCGGCTCCGGGCTTCGCTGCTCGGTCAGCCGCACCGTTCCCAGCGCACCGGAAGCGCTCTGCCTCGCCGGCGCCAGGATCCTCGAGGGCCCGACGTGCACGGACTTTCTCACGCCCAAACTTGAGGGACGAAAAAACGACCCTACCCTGGGTTACGAGTGCGTGGTTTGTAAACCTCCTGGGAACCCCCAAAGCCTAGAGCCGCCAGGACGCGGCAGATGACGCAGAGTTTACCCTGTCAGCCGACAGGAGTTTCAGCGCACAGCGCCTCGTAAACCAGGGTAGGGGCGTTTTTTATGCCCTTGACAAGCATCCCCTTGCCACCGCGAGACAAGCCCTGAAGCACAGGACTGGCATATGGGACACTTGGATGAGAGCCGCAACTGACTAGGCAAACTGTGCATGCTGGCTACGTTGGCGCAATCGGAATAGAGCTGGGCCGGGGCTGAAGCGACTGCTCCCGCCATCGCCTAAACCGTGAACTCGCCAGGCTGTGGAGCTCCAGGAAGGCCCGAAGAGGCCAAAATCACAGATTCTCCCTAAGTGTTTGACGGATTTGGGCATTTGCTTCTTGTCGGCCTTCCGACGGCCCGAGACGGCCCAAGAGCCCCCACAGATCACCCAAAGATCGCACAAGAGGCCTTCAAGGAACGGCCCAAGAGGCCCCCAAGACGGCCCCAAGAGGGCCCCAAGGCGGCCCAAGAGGCCTCCAAGACGCCCAAGATGGCCCCCAAGACGGCCCTGGAGCACCCAAGAGGGCCCCAAGTCGGCCAAAAAAGGCTCCCAAAACGAGCAAGGACAAAGAGGCATCCGAGAAGCCCCCAAAGGCCCCCAAGAGGCCCAAAGAGGCCCCCAAGATACCTCCAAGAGGCTCCCAGGAAGCTCCAAGGAGGCCCCAATAGTGCCCCCAGAGGATCCAAAAATGTCCCCTCCTCCTCCTCCTCCTCCTCCTCCTCCTCCTCCTCCTCCTCCTCCTCCTCCTCCTCCTTCTCCTGCTCCTCCTCCTCCTCCTCCTCCTGATCTTCCCCGCCATCCCCCCCCAAGTGTCCCCCGAAAGGTCTCCACAGCGACTGCGGGAACACATGGTCCAACAGCATCGCAGAGCTCTTGCCGCAACGCTCGGCCACATGGGCGACCCCAAAAGGCAGGGGGCGGCGGTGATTCGCCGCAGGCGTCTTCGATGTGATTCAACACATGTCCCCACCGCTTCTGCACGCCCAATAGGCTTCCACGGCGGCCCGTTCCACGACGCTGCCCTCCTTCCAACGGCTCCCCTGGCAATGGTTTCCAGATGGGCTGGTGGGGATTCTTTTGTTTGCGAGCGCAAACGGAAGGGCCGCGCGCCGTCCAAAGCTACAGCTAATAAGCAAAAGCCCAAATTGCACACCCGAGAGAGACAGAGAGAGAGAGAGAGAAAGGGAGAGAGAGAGAGAGAGAGAAAACAAAGAGAGAGAGAGAGAGAGAGAGAGAGAGAGAGAGAGAGACAACAATGGAGCAACAGGAGGAGAGACTAGCCGGGGCGGACCGCGCGGCGCTCACGGAGAAGGTGTCATCGGCAGCTTGCAACCGACAGGGGGTGCACGCCAACAGACAGAAGCCATACGCCCAAGGCGCGTCGGCAAACGCACATTCATACACTACACACACCGCTCTCTCAATCGATGTCTCCAAACAAGAGGATCTTGAACGAGATCTTGCAATCTGTCTCCTTCCCCGCATGCCCGGTGCGCATGTGACCCCAAGAATTTCGCCCACTCCAGCCGCGGCGCCCCCACCTTCCTCACGAAGGCGTCCGTGACCGGCGTCAAAGTCCCAGGGATGAAAACAGAATCGCGAAGAGGGTCTCCTGCTGGTCCACGCACTGCCTTGCCATATAAAGCGAGCCGGCGCTTCAGCAGAATGGCCGTCAACGGGGGCTGGCCCGTGCGTGCTCGTATCAAGTCGTTCGACACGCGCGAAATCATCGGGTGTCTGAAGCCGCGCAAAGTCCTTGGCATTCTGCAGCGCGCCCCGTCTAGTCTCCTTTTCTCCGCAGCGTTCAGAACGACAGAGCACAAGCTGTACAAGTGCTTCGAGATGATGACGGCGTTGAAAAGTTCGAGTTTCCTTGCCTCGCCGATATTCGAGTGGCCCGACAACTGCTTCAGCTTGCGGAAACTGGCGAACGCCATCCCAAGCCTCCTGGTCAACTCGCCGCCCGCTTTCCCGTCGTTGTTCAAGGTGGCTCCGAGGTACGATAAGGTGTCCTTGGGCGTGATTTCCTCGCCCTGTGGCGTCCTGACTTTTCTTTGGCACCGGATTCTGAGAAGCTGCAACTTGCCCCAATGCATCTCCAGCCCCATTGTGCCAGCTGCAATTTGGACCACGTTGAGCCACTTTTCCATGTCGCCGGTGGTCCTCGTCATCAGCAGCGCGTCGTCCGCGTTCACCAGCTGACCGAATCTGCGTGCGTCGCTTTCTCCCAGCTCGACCTCTGCGCCCCTCATGATTACTGTCATCACAATGACAAATAAGAAAGGCGACGAAGGACAACCTTGCGATATTCCAGATTTTTGGCTGCGCTCGGCCGAAATAACTCCGTTCTCCCTGACCTGAAACGTTCGCCCCGTGTAGATGTCGGCAACGACGCTCCTCACGTGCTCTGGCAGCCCGAATCTCTCCAAGGCGGTCATCATGGCCTCTCTATATTCACAGAGTCGCATGCTTGCTTCCAGCCCAGGGCGAGGATGCACGAGTTCCCATGGCGCGAAGCCCACGCGGCCTCGACGCGGCGCCTCAGGATGCAGATCGTGTCTTGCGTGCTCCTCCCCGTGCGGAATCCGAACTGAAACTTGGACAAGCGGCCCTCTGCTCCACCGTCCACCAGGCGCTGCTTGATGAGGGCCGCGAATATTTTGCACCCGAGGCTCAACAAGCTTATGGGCCGGTGGTTCTCTGGCAATTCAGCGTTGTCTGTTTGCGCAACCAACATGCGTTGAAGAACTCTGCGATGTAGGCCAAACAGTCTGTACTCCGGGCATAAGCTTTCCAGCATTCAGCCGGGATGCCATCTTCGCCAGCTGCCCTGTTGTTCCTCAACCTGCCGATGACTTCTCGCACCTCGTCCGCCGTGAACGCGGCTTCGTTGACCAGGAGCTGCGGCCCAAGCGGCGGGGCATCGACGGCGACAGCCGGCCGGACCCGCCATTGAACTCTCTCCAGGTACTCAGCCATCGTGTCCGCTTTTTCGCTGCTCATGGCGAGCTCCCCGTCGACGTTTCGCAAGCTGGACTGCGTTGGCTTTCTCGGCTTTCTGAGGGTTTCGAGATCATCCCATTCCCCTGTCCGCATGCGATCGTTTAGCCATGCCGTCTTGTCGGTCTTGGCAGACCTCCTCACCAACTTGTGATATTCGTTCTGCCTCTTCGCATCTCCGGCCAGTCTTGCCTCGGCACGCCGGTCGATTTGGTCCACTGTGCTCTGGGTGATCCAAGGCCTCCTGGTGGTCGCCGCCTTGTCTGGGATGGCGTGTTCGCTTGCTGTGAAAGCTTCAATCATCGAGCGCCAAGTTTCCTCTGGAGTGCTGTCGTGCGCCTGCCCCCGGACGCGCTCGAGGAAAGAACGTGTGAATGTGCCTGCCACGGCCGGTGTTTTTAGAGCTTTCCTGTCTTTCCTCGGCGCCTTGTGTTGGACGAACATGTCACAGTCGACGCAGATATCACAGGTCACGAGAAAGTGGTTCGTTTGGAGAGCTGCTGCCCTGTTGCTCCTCACATTCTGGACGCTCTCTTGCATTACGGACTCTGCCAGCACCAGATCGAGCATGCTGTGGGTGTCTTCTGCGACGGCGCTCATGTGGGCCACCCCGGTCTCTACGAAAGTAGCTTTGGTTTCTGGCGCTCCCGCCTTCAAGGCGTTAGCAACCACGAACTCGCGTTCCAAGCAAAACTGCATCAACAGGTCGCGGTTGGATATCTCAACTTTCTTGATGGCTTCTCTGCCCCAGCCGTGTTCACCTAGAACATCGTCTTCTCCAGGGCGTCGCTTTCCCATGCGTGCGTTGCAGTCACCCAGTAAAATATTTGGCCCGTTCGTCGAACACTCGTCGTACAAGTTTGCGAGGTTTTCCTTTTTATATAAAAAAAGAAAAAAGATTATCATACAAAATCATCTTCAGTCGGCTTCTCATTGCGAGGGGCGTACGCCGTAACAATGCCCACCGTGCAATTTCTCGCCTGCATCGTCAAGTATGCAGTCCTCCCCGTGTGCTGCAAAAAACCACAGATGTTATGCTTGGCCCACGGTGCCACCACGAAGCCAACTCCAGCTCTCTCCGGTCCACTCCCAGACAAGATCACGGTGAAACCTTTTTCCGAATAACTGTCAGAGCATTGCTTCAACGTCTCTTGAACGCATAATACATCCACTTTGTAGCGTTTCATGTGCGCCCGTATGCAAATTAATTTTTCATCGGTCAGGCCCTGAACATTCCACGTTCCAGTTCGTACTCGCTGCCTGTGGACGTCCTCCTAATGCCCTCCCCGATATCCCGCTCCATCATCTCTGTGCCGATCGCGGGGTGAAGCTTTGTTGCCGACACGCCCTGGGCCCCCGCAATTGGGGGGGCTTCCCCTTGCCCCAGCCCTTCTGGCCCCCATCTTTCATGTTCTCGAGGCGCTTCGTGGCCTTCGCGACTAGCTCAACAAAGCACCCGGCCGACGTGAAATCCTTCCTCGTCTTCCAGTCTTCCAACAGCCACTTGATGTTGAAGGCGCTGTTCTCCACCTGGGCCTGCATCACCTTAGTGCCCCCCACTGTGAGGCTCAGATCGTCCTCGTCCACCTTGATCGCCCTCTTGTTGAAATCCCAACCGGCCAACATGTTCTTCACACCGAAAAGGAAATTGAGGGGAACGCGCTCATGTAAAGGACGATCCGGAGCCCCCCACACAAGAATTCCCTTGAACTTCAACCTCTGGCTCCTGAGAATGTCGATCGCTCCTTGCACGGTTGGGCCGGTAGCGAACTTTGCAAAAACGATGCCGTTGAAACCCTCCCCCTTGTAGAATACCTCGGTCGGCTCGGGTACTCCGACTTTCTTTAGCTGAGAACTTATCTAGTCAGACGCTTCCTGGAAGTTCACCGCCTCCTAGAAGCCCCCCATGACGGCTATTTGCTTAGACCCCTTCTCCCCCGTCAGCTGACCGATGCTCTTCTTCATATCCTCGAACTTCTTGTTGATGTCCTCCTTGACGATCTCTCTCACCTCATCCCTCATCATCTCCTTGACCTCCTCCTTCGTCACCACCTTGCCCTTGAGCTTTGTCAACTCGTCCTCAACGGCTGTTGCTGCGACCATGGCCTCGAATGCTTTCTGCTTTGCCGCATTCGCCTCATCCTGCGCCTCCTGGATAGCGGCACCGTTCTTTTTCATCAGACCTTTCATCTCCTTCATGTCGCCCATCATCGTCCTCATCATCTCTTCCAATCCCATTGTCTTCTCCCCCGCCTCCTCCTCCTCCTCGTCGCCATCCATCTTGTTTAAAGGCGACTCGTGTCTTGGAAACTTTCGTTCGCCTCCGACGGGGGTGCGAATGTCGTGTTTCTTAGCCCTCGTGTTCTCCATCGTCTCCGCCATTGCAGGCGGCTCGGAAGTCGGATTAATCCAGGGGGGCTGGATTAACCCAGGGCGGCTGGCGTAGATGGATTGGCTGGCGCAGATGGATTGGCTTGAGCCAAAATGGCTACGTCAAAGTGGCGGGTAATTAGCTGGCAATGTGGTGTCCCGTGGTGACTGCGGTGCGGGGGGCAAACCCCGCAAGAGATAGCGGAAGCCGCAAATCGATAGTGAGACCGATAGTGAGATCGAGAGGTGTCCCGCGGTGTCCCGTGGTGTCCCGTGGTGTCCCGTTGAGTGAGATCGATAGTGGGATCGATACTAGGATCGACAAGTGTCCCGTGGTGTCACGTGGTGTCCCGTGGTGTCCCGTGGTGTCCCGTTGGGTGAGATCGATAGTGATAGTGAGATCGATTGAGTCAGATGTTGGTTCCCCCCTTCTCCCTCCCCACAACCTCCTTATCACCCGAAGGGTGGTCATATAGGTAGATTATATCAGGCTCGGGCTACCGAAGCTACAATCCCTTGTAAAGTACGCCATCTTCGCGCTGCCGAAGCCACGACCACTTGCAAATTATGCCAGACTCGAGCTCCCCAAGCCACAGTCCATTGTGAGTTGCGCAAGATTTGCGCAGCCGAGGCCACAACCCTTTCTGTAAATTACGACAAGGATGCGCCCCTGGGGCCACGGTCCCTCGCACATTGCTGCGCGGTGGCACTCCCGGGGCCACAATCCCTCGCAGGTTACCCCAGATTCGTGCCCCCCCCAGGCCACGGTCCATCGCAAATTAAAACTCGCACTCCCGAGGCCACACATTTTCGCAAACCACATCTCCGAGGAGCACAATGGAGTGGGAGCTGGAGGAGAGCGGGGGGGGGGGGCACTCCTCCTCCTCCTCATTCTCCTCCTTTTCCTCCTCCTCCTCCTCCTCCTCCTCCTCCTCCTCCTCCTGCTCCATCCCTTTTCCTTGTAAACAATTCTTTCCTGTCACACGTAGGCTGGGCCGCGCGTTTCGCCTGAGACTTCCTCAAAATATATGCCCTGACGCTTGGAAATGTGCAAGAGGTATAAAGATAGAGGGCGAGCCGTTTTCAACATGTAGCTATCGCCTCAGCGCCGAGCACATTCGTCGTAAAAGTTTGCAACAGCTTCAGGAATGGAGGGCGGGTCGTTTTCAAGCTGTGCTTCTCGCCTTGACGCCGCGCGCGTTAGCCTTTGCAAGTTTGCAGCAGGGTCAAGGATGAAGGCCGGCTCCTCTTCAACATGTAGTTGTCACCTAAGAGCCGCACGAAATCAAGGATTCATAGGGTTGAAGCCCCAGGCATGGCATTGCCGCACGACTTAGGATTGTCAGAACGCAATTTTCAAGTGGATTAGCGGCGTTGAAGTCACAGGAACGGCGTTCTAGTACGATGCATGGCTATCAGGACGCAATAATGGCGTTGACTCGCGGCGTCGAAGCGCTAGGAATGGTGCTTGGGCACGATCTAGGATTCTCAAACAATTTGGAAATTGAGGGGTGCCCAATCTTACCAGATGGACAATGCAAAACCGTTGTTCGATTGTATGTATGTCCCGGCGGGAAATCTCCACTTTTCACAAATTGGAGAGAAAATTCCTTCCTTTCTTCTTGGGACGGTTATCTTTCAGTGGGTCACAAACAAATACTTGCAGGGACCTGTGAAGAGGCAACTTGGAGGGAGGGCCTACTGCAACGTCGTTGATGGGTCTTGGGTTTACACTGGTCCTCCTCCTCCACCTCCACCTCCTCCTCCATCCCTTTTCCTTCTAAATAACTTCTCCCTGTCGCACCCCGAGACCAGTTTTTAGGGCGGGCCGGGCGTTTCGTATGCGACTCCCTCACCATCTGTGACTCTGAAGCTTTAAAATTGACAACAGTTTCACAAATGGAGGACGGGTCGTTTTCAAAATGTGGCTCCCGCCTTAGCGCGGCGCACATTCGTCTCTTCACGGATTGAGGGCGAGTGGTTTTCTAAATGTGGCTCTCGCCTTAGCGCCGCGCGCATTCGGTCGAAAAACTGCAAAAGTTTCACGGATTGAGGGCGGCTCCTTTTCAAAATGTGACTCTCGCCTTAGCGCGGCGCACATTCGTTTTAAACATTTGCAAGAGTTTCACGGATTCCCATCATCAACGTACCAGTAATGGTATTTTGGAAGAATTCAGTACTATGCGGGTGCAACAGTTACGTTGAATTCTCTATGTTGAAGTCCTAGGAATGGCGTTCTGGCACGATTCAGGATCGTCAAGACGCAACAGTCAGGTTGATCCGTGGCGTTGGAATCCCGAGAAAAATGTTTGGGCATGCTTCAGGTTCCTCAAACGGTTGTCTTCCAACGAGGCGGTTCCATCAATGGAAATCAACCATTGTGAGCTTGGAGGGAGGGTTTACTCCAACATCGTTGATGACTCTTGGGTTTACACTGGACCTCCTCCTCCTCCGCCTCCTCCTCCTCCTCCTCCTCCTCCTCCCCCGTGGAAGGGCGGCGCGCCCGCGATGGGGAGGCCAGGCGGGGTCCATGTAGCTCCCTCGGTACGTCGGGTCGTACTTCGTCCGCACCTGGCGCGCCAGCGCCGCATCCGCGAGGCGGTCCGGCGGCGCGCCCTCCGCCCCGCAACACGACGTCTCGTGGCGGCACGGCGTGGAATAGGGGGGGGAGGGAGGGGCCGAAGACGGGCGGGAACAACAACGGGGAAGGGAAGCAGGAGGAAGGAGGAGGAGGAGGAGCAGGAGGAGGAGGAGGAGGACGGGAGGGGAAAGGATAAGGGAGGGGAGGGGAAGGGGGAGGAGGGTAGTGAGGAGAGGGAACAAGAGGAGCAGGAGGAACGGAAGGGCAGGAGGAGCTGGAAGAGAGGGAGGAGGAGGAGGAGGAGGAGGAGGAGGAGGAGAAGGAGGAGCAGGAGGAGGAGGGGTGGAGGCAGGAGAGGGTGGGATAGAAGGAAGATGTGGGGGAGGAGAAAGACGAGGAGGAAGACGAGGAGAAATCATAGTGATCGGACGGGGGATGGTTCGCAACGATACACAGGAGGAACATAAGCAAAGGGAAAAGCGTAAGGATACATTGCTCCTCCACACACCGCCAAAGCGCGCAACCTCACGACGGTGCCACAGCGAAGAGGCGCTGCCCACGCATGCACAGCACGCCGCCGCGCGAAGCAATTGGGGCCCTCAACCAGGCTGCAAAACCACAGAGCGGCTGTCCTGGAGTTGGTGCGCGGCGGGTCGCGGGCAGGCCAGGCCAGAACGCCGAGCAAGAGGGCGGAAGCAGACCACCCAGGTGTGCCATGGCCAGAACCAAAAAAAAACAGAACAACCCAAAATAGCGCTCCGCGCGGATCTCTTGGGTCCGCGATGTGCCCCCCCTTCCTGGCGCGCGGAGCGCGCCAGGGGCGCGGATCCAAGAAACCCGCGCGGAGCGCCAAAGGTTTATTCGGGTCGGGCGAAAGGGGGGGATAGCAAAGGGGGGGTTTGAGAATCAGCTCACGTAGCTGATTTTCCTGGCGCCTCCCGGCGCCGGAGGCGGCTATGTATCGAGGAATGGGCCCCTCGGTGAGGCCGAAACCAGCTGCATGCAGCAAATTTCGTAACCCCCCCTTTCCCAATCCCCCCCTTTCGTCCGGCTCGATTTATGTTCATAGCGGTTCTTCCCCTTCTTCTTCGAACTGCAGAGACGGCTTGCAGATCTGCAGGGATGCGCGCCGGAGGCTCCCGCGGCGGTCCTCCGATCGGCCTCCGCGGGCGGCTCCCGGCCCTCGGCGCCCCTCGGCGGGCCTCGGCGGCTGCCTGGGGGGCCTGCCCCGGGTCTGCGGCAGCACGCGGCGTCGGCGGCGCGCACCAGGGGGGGGGGGGTCAGGGGGAGGGGGGAGGGCTTCTCAGAAGGAGGCGAAGCGTCTCGGAAGGCGCCAGCCCTACATCCATGGATGAGGCCCGCGCCTTCTGAGAAGCAAAGGAGGAGGAGGAGGAGGAGGAGGAGGAGGAGGAGGACGGGGGAGGATTTCTAAGAAGCAGGGGTGCTTCTGAGAAGCCTTCCCCTCCCCCTGGATTCCCCTCCTGCGTCTGCCGTGCCCTTCCGCGCCAGGCTTTTCCATCCATAGCGCACCCTCTGGGGATCGCTGCCCTGCTCGATCGCTGCACTGGGCCCCGGCGCTCGGCCACGGGCCTTCGAGCCTCGCTCGAGGCTCGAGCCTTCGAGCCTCGCGCCCCTCTGGGCTCCTGACCAACCGTGGAGGGGGGGTACCCCTCCGACGGGGGCCAACCCCGCCTCGCCGCCGCGCCGCAACCGGGGGTCGGAGCGCCCCAAGGCGCGCGGTGGCTGCCCGCGACGGGGGTCGATGTGTGGCTGTCGGCGGGGGTGACTCTCCCCCCCGACGCTTCGTAAGAAACTCGGAGCACTCGATGGAGGCTCGAGCGCTCGACCCCTCGGAGCCGCCGCGCTGCTCGCTCGAGGCTCGGGCCTGCGAGCCTCGCCCAGGCGTCGACGGGGAGGGATGGCGGGGAGGGGCGGGACGTCAGATGTGGCGCTAGCGCACCCAGTTTGCCCCTTCCCTTTCTCCTCCTCCTCCTCCTCCTCCTCCTTCTCCTCCTCCTCCTCCTCCTCCTCCTTTCTACTTCTCCTCCTTGCTCCTCCTCCTCCTCCTCCTCCTCCTCCTCCTCCTCCTCCTCCTCCTCCCCCTCCTCCTCCTCCTCCTCCTCCTCCTCCTCCTCCTCCTCCTCCTCCTCTTTCCCTCCCCTCCCCCCTCCTCCCCCTCTCCTCCCCTCCCCTCTCATCTTCCCCTCCTCCTCTGCGCGTGGCTGGAAATGGAGAGGGCGAAGGACACTGGGGGGGAGAAGGGGGCGTGCTGGGGCCAGGGTGCGCCGAATCGGTAAATCAGATCGAATCGACATGTGCATCGAATCGGGCTGCATCGGCACGGACTCGAAGTCGAGTCGAACCGGTTGCGCCAAGATGCACAACTGCGCCATGCGAGCATCGGGCCGCACGGGATCGTCGGAAGATCGGAATCGAATCGGATCGGGCCGGCCAGGATCGATATCGGATCGGACCGATCGCGTCGAAAATGGGCCCTCAGAAGGGGGGGGATCCAGGCGGAGACTGCGCGCGCCCGCTGCCCGCGCGATCCGCGCGACCCCACGGGCGCCCCGCGCCGCCGACGACCTCCGCGAGCCTTCGACGCGGCGCGGCGCGGCGGCTCCCGCCCTCGCCGCGCCCGGGGCGCACGCAACCGACGGACGGCCGCCGCGCCCACGGCCAACAGGCAGCACTCCGCCGCCCCCACGGCGGCCGCGAGGGCGCGGCGGCCGCCGAGGGCCTCGAGCGCGCGCCACGCGCGCCCGCCGCTGCGGCGAGCGCAGGGCCCTCCCCAGCGTCGGTGCCGGCCTGAGGCCCGGGCGGGCCGCGGAGGCCGCCCTGGGGCGCCGAGAGGCCGCCCCGGAGCTCAGGCTGGCCGTGATACCGTGAACCCGTAGAGGAAGGAGGCGCGATGAGGAGGCAAGGGCCTTGGGCGCCCAAGTCGAAGCCTCTCGAGCGGGCGGCGGCCAACGAAAGCGGCCAGCCGGGCGCGCGAGCGGGGCGCACCACGCGCTGCAGGCCCGCGCGCGCGCACGGGCGGGCGGCCCGCGGGCGCTGCGGGGGCTCCTCGCGAGGAGGCGAGCGCCCGGGCTCCCGGCGGCGGGCGCCAGCCCCCGGCCAGCTCCCGGCGGCGCGGCGGCGCAACGCGCTGCAGCGCGCAGGGGGCTCCTCGCGGCGAGCGGGGCTGCTGCGCGGCGCCAGCGGCGCTCTGCGCGAGGGGCGCCGCCGCGCCGCGGCGCCGCGCGGCGGGGCCCCCGCAGGAGCCGTGGGGGCCCAGCGCGCGCGCGGGCGCGCGCGTGGCGCGCGCGCGCGCGATGCGGCAGCTCTGGGTGCCAGTCGGCGTCGAAGCCGACTCCGGGGGAAAGGGGGCGCCGCGGGAAGCGCCCGGAGCCGCGAGGTCCTGCGCGGCTCCACTTGCGCGTGCAGTCGACGCGACCCCGGGGCACACGCCAGCCCGCGGACGGTTTGAGTCGCGAGATCAGTTCACCGCCGAGTAGGGGGTATCCCGTCAGGGACCCCCTCCTCGGCGACCCCCTCCCTGTTCTCTCTCGAAGGGGAGTCGCCAAGGAGAGTGAGAAGGAGGAGGAGGAGGAGGAGGAGGATGAGGAGGAGGAGGAGGAGGATAGTGGAAATGCCAATCTGGGATCGACATCGCCAGGCGTCTCGACTCCTTCCCACACCCGGGAAAACGCCAGGCACGGCCCAGGCGTGCCTGAGCTGAGCCGCCGCGGGGCCGGGCGATTCTGCAGCTGGGAGGCCGCGGGAGAGAGAGGGCGAGGCGCGCGGGGCGCGGGGCGCGAGGGCGAGAGGGAGGGGAGAGCGGGAGGATGAGAGGAAGAAGGATAACATGGAAGATAGTTCGGCAAGCCATCCTCCCTCCCACGGGAGCTGGCGCGACGCGCGCGATTTGGACGGCAGCGGAAATCAGCCGGCGCCGACCGGATATGCCCCTATTCCGCAAGGAGTGCTCGCACTTCGGGGCTCTTTCTTGTTTTCTCAAGATTTGGGCTGGTGCGTCGGTCTGGCGTCTATGTTGTCATCGTCGCCGCCCCGTCGTCGCCTCGTCGCCGCCCATCGTCTGCGCTGGTGTATCGGCCTGGCGACTATGCTGTCGCCGTCGCCGCTCCTCACCGCCGACGCCGCTCGTCGCCGCCGCCACTGCACCACATAAATTGAGAAATATAGATCGCAACACATAGATTCTCCTTTCTCAACAGAAAACAAACTGTACCCCCCCCCGCCCGGGATTATCGACAACATCGCATTGCAATTTACATCTGGTTCTGCACCATCGTCGATCCTAAATATGAACGCATACCGTCCCAGGCAGGCTGGTCTCGACCCCCCTCCGCCATCCTCTGCCGAAAAAAACCACGCGCACTCATTTATCATAAATCAACAGATTTCAAAAATCCCATGCACAAAAAACCAGGACACCATCCCATGGGGGTTTCATCGACCCCCCCCCCGCCATCTTTTCAAAAAAACTACGCGCGCGCACTCGCGCATCAAAAATTATGCTAACGGAGTTCCCCACATAAAGAGATTAACGGTTTCGTGGGACGCATTTTCTTGATGCCCTCCTCGCTTTGGCGGGGCCCCGCTGGAAGGGGGGAGGGCTACGAAACCTGGCGAAGAGTAATGCTTTCCGCGACCCTCCTCGCTCAGGCGGGGCCTCTCTGGAGGGGTGGGAGGGGCACGAAACCATGTAAATAGTATGGTATTCCGATACCCTCCTCGCTCAGGCGGGGCCTCCCTGGAGGGGTGGGAGGGTCACGAAACCATGTAAATAGTATGGTATTCCGATACCCTCCTCGCTCAGGCGGGGCCTCCCTGGAGGGGTGGGAGGGGCACGAAACCATGTAAATAGTATGGTATTCCGATACCCTCCTCGCTCAGGCGGGGCCTCCCTGGAGGGGTGGGAGGGGCACGAAACCAAGTAAATAGTATGGTATTCCGATACCCTCCTCGCTCAGGCGGGGCCTCCCTG